TGGAAGGGCGTGTTACAGTTGCCTGAGTGACTCAGCCCTAAGCTGAAGGAGCTATTCTCCAGTTTTTTAGGTGATGATCCTATGGAAAGTAATGGTGATGTTCCTTTCCTGTCCTCTGTTTCATGCCTGCCTGTTTTTTGAATTCGTAAATGCTGAGAAATGCATGCAATTCCCGGAAAAGGTGCCTAGAAAACAGAGGCCTTAAGTGAAGCAAACTCCAGCCAAATTGGCTCGACTGGCCGCCATGCAGTGGAGTTTGGGGCTAACCCCAAGGATTTGCCCAGGGCTGGAGGGGCAAAATGGGCCTGTGACCCTTTGGCCAGATAGAAGACTTCCTGCCTCGGTACCTACGTAATAGGGATGGGGCCGAAGGGTTTGTTTTGTAGAGGAACCTGTTAAATATTAACTTGCCACGTTAATCCTCCTCCTGAGAAGGCAGCCGAGGAGCAATTTGATGAGCCCAAGAAGGGTGTGTGGCCACAACCGATGACAAGATGAGCCATCCTCACTTACCCTTGCCAGAGGCTGTGACTCTGCCTGTTTTATGCCTGTAACAGGAAGCACAAAGGCAACCCAGCATAGTGAAAGGCTGTTTGGCAGCAGAACTGGCAGCCTCTCCTTGGGAGGAGGAGGAGGAGGAGGAGGAGGTGGTGGTGGTGGTGGTTTTTCAGCAGAGCTTGGGTGTCCTTCTGCCAAGGAGCGCCTTAGCTGTGGGTTGCTGGCATCGGCAGCAGGGGTTGGAGTCAAGGACCCCCGGGCTCCCTTCCCATTGCCATCTTGTATAGTTCCCAGTGCATTTTTGATCTGAGGAAGCTGCAGCAAGAGGAGTTCTGTCAAGGCACAACCTTTCCCCTTAGCAGCTTTTAAAAAGAAGTTTTAATCATTTCCCCTTGAGAAAGGGTTTCCCTGGAATGCGCTCAGCCCTCTCTTTGGAGCTGGTGCACCAGATCTGCATTGAAGGTGGTGTCCACGAGAGGGATTTGGTTTTTGGAACCACGGGGTGAGCTTCCTGGAAGGACTGCTAGCAAGAGACAGCCTGTACCTCACAAGGACTGGGAAGAATGTGTTTGCTCACAGCAGGAAGAACTTCATCAGGAGGGCTTTGAACTGAATTGGAAGGGAGAGGGAGACGCAAGCACAGAGTTAAGATGAAGCCTTACAGGCAATAAGAGGAATGGACCAAATTGATCAAAAGGGTATCAATAAAAACATGAACAATAATAATACTCACAATAATTATAACAGTAATCATCATCATAATTATCATAATATTCATAAAAATGTACAAAGACAAACAGGACACAAATCACACACCCTCCAGTGGCTGTATACGAATGCCAGGAGTATGGGAAACAAACAAGAAGAACTGGAAATGTTAATTCAGGAGCGTAAGTATGACTTCATAGGAATAACCGAAACTTGGTGGGATGATTCCCATGACTGGAATACAGCAATTGAGGGATATAAACCGATCAAAAAGAATAGAGAGAATAAAAAGGGAGGTGGACTGGCAGTATATGTCAAAAATACGCATTTTTGCACAAAAACACAGCAGGAGGAGATTGGCAGTCCCATCAAGAGCATCTGGATCAATATAACTGGGGCAAAAAACAAAAGGAACTTGGTAGCTGGAGTCTACTACCGAATGCTCAATCAAAGAGAGGGAGCAGATAAAACTTTTGAAAAACAAATTGCAGGGTTTTCAAAGAGCCACAGTGTAGTACTGATGGGAGATTTCAATTATCCAGATATATGTTAGGAGGCAAATTATGCCTGATATGGCATTTGCAAGAAATTCCTGGTTTGTGCGGCTGATAATTTTCTCCTACAAAAAGTGGACAAAGAACCAAGAGTATTTGCTACCCTTGACTTGATTTTGACCAACAGAGATGACTTGGTGGGGGGAGTGGCAGTAAGGGGAACTCTGGGCGAGAGTGACCATGTCCTTTTAGAATTCTTGATTTCAAAGGAAACAAAAGCAGTGTGTATCCACACACTTCTGCTGGATTTTTAAAAAGCCAATTTTAATAATCTCAGAACAAGGATAAGTAAGGTCCCATGGCAGGAAATCCTAACAAGGAAAGGAGAAGGGTGGGGTCTTCTAAAAAAATTCCTAAATGCACAACTACAAACAATTCCAACAAGAAAAAAAAGGTGGGAGGTGGCAAAAAAGGCCACTGTGGCTTCACAAAAAGCTCAGGAAGAACCTACAAACCAAAAAAGACACGTACAAGAAGTGGAAAGAAGGCCAGGCCACCAAGGATGAGTACAGAGAAGTATCAAGGAAATGCAAGGATGGCATCCGGAGGGCAAAAGCTGAGAATGAGCTGAGGTTAGCTAGAGACACTAAAAGCAATAAAAAAAGCCTTCTTCAGGTATGTGAGTAGCAAAAGACAAACCACAGCTCCGCAGTGGAGAGGGAAAATTGATAATAGAGGGCAAAGAAAAGGCAGAAGTACTCAATTCCTATTTTAGTTCCATCTTTTCCCATAAGACAGACAATGAACTTCCAAACCAATTGGAAGTGCAAGGGGAACATGATTGCAGCTGGAGATTGATAAACAAACAGTCAAGGAATACCTTACCACCTTGAACGAATTCAGATCTCTAGGGCCGGATGAACTGCATCCGAGAAGAATGAAGGAACTGGCTAAGGAACTCTCAGAACCGCTACTCATTCTTTTCTTGAAATCATGGGAAACGGGGGAGGTGCCAGAGGATTGGAGGAGGGTCAGTGTTGTCCCTGTCTTCACAAAGGGCAAAAAGAGGAACCTAGGAACTATGGGCCAATCAGCCTCACATGAATCCCAAGTAAAATTGTGGAACAGATCATAAAGCGGTCAATGTGCCGGCATCTATAAAACAATGCGGTAATAACTAGAAGCCAACATGAATTTGTCAAGAACAAATTCTGCCAAACTAATTTGATCTCATTTTTTGATCAGGTAACCTCCCTGATAGACAGAGGAAAAGCTGTAGACGTAGTACAGTGTATCTTGATTTCACCAAAGCTTTTGACCAAGTCCCCCATGATATCCTGATAAGCAAGCTAACTAGGTGTGGGCTGAATAGATCAAGTGTTAGGTGGATGCACAATTGGCTACAGAATTGTATTCAGAGGGTGATGATTAATGGGTCCTTCTCTAAATAGCAGGAGGTAACAAGTGAGGTACCCCAAGGTTCAGTCCTTGGCCAGGTGCTCTTCAATATTTTTATTAATGACTAGGATGAGGGACTGCTTGTTAGCTTTGCAGACGATATAAAATTGGGTGGAATAGCTAATACTCTAGAAGACAGAAACAAAATTCAAAATGACCTTGATAGGATGGAGCACTGGGCTGAAAGCAACAGAATGAAATTCAGCAGGGAGAAGTGTAAAGTATTGCACCTCGGAAAAAGAAACCAATTGCACAGTTACAAGATGGGGGAGACCTGGCTCAGCAAAATGACGAGCAAGAAGGATCTTGGTATTATCGTAGATCACAAGGTAAATATGAGCCGACAGTGTGATGTGGCTACAAAAAAAGGCAAGTGCTGTTTTAGGCTGCATTAATAGAAGTATAGTTTCCAAATC